TCATTTCAAGTGCTTTCTTTTCAACCCTCCCCACCCTACTCTCTGCTACAACAAATGGCTGGGGACCATTGCAAGTCCAAAGCAAATGACTAGAGGATTTCCTAAGTGATGGGTCACTTAGGAAAGGGGTGCCAGGATGGCAAGCAATGCCAGCCATGGGTGAATCCTGGTATCGGGAAGCTGGTTAGGTCTCTCGAACGCCTGCTTTTGGTTATTGTTCTGTACTCTCTGGATCTTTTTCCTCCTACTTCATGGGACTCAGCCTGCCCTACCTAGGCTGGCCCTGTGCCTCTGAAAAGATTTGGAGAGGTGAGTAGGTTTTCTTGACATTAGTTGGAATGATAAAAGAATGAGGACCAAAGAAGTTTGCTGTGAATGAATAAACAGCCCCAGTGCAGACTATGCCCCTGTGGTGTTGTACCTGAGTTCCTGGCTCAGGGCAGGGCTACGACCCATCACACAGTGCTTCCTAGGTGGAGCACAGGATCTCAACACCATCCTGCTGAGCTCTACTTGCCTGGATATTTGTAGCCAGGGCAAAAGAGTTGGGGGATGCCACAGTAGCCAGCCACTCCTTTATCTTGATTCAGCTTCAGTTTCCCTAAAACTAATTCTCCTCTATAGATCAAGGTGGGTTAGCAAAGCCACCCTACTATGCTAAGACCCCCAGAAAGAGTTGGTACCACTAAATGAAAAGAGTATGCTAGGAAATGACTGCATAGCCTGCCTGAGTCAGCTCACCATGGTCTCAGGCATCTTAACTGCCTGCCCGATACATGCATAGCCCTAGGCCAGAGGGCACCAGGGATGTGAAGACAAGTCTATCCTCTCTCTTCCTTAGGGTTGATCAGCCTGGGGGCAAATGTACATAGAATCCTGTGAATGCAACATGAGTGACTGGGATCTGTCTAGATCAAGGGGTGCAAGAGGAGGAGCTGGGTGTGCTCAGGGGGAGAGTAGTGTCCCTAAGAATTGTCATGTGTCTCTGGTGGGTCAGGTTGCAGGGGTCTTTGGAAGACAGATGGGCTATAGCATCTCCTCAGGGGTCCACCCAAAAGATGCTCTTCTGGCAAGCAGTCCCCAGATCTCCCTCCTTCAGAGGCCCCTGCAGGATAGGTGAAAGCAAGATAGAAATAATGCCACAGGCCAGCTGCCCAGGGCTTTCCTGCGGCACGGTCACACAAAAGGTGCTAACCATGGGCAGGGGAGATAGTTTGGTAGTCTAAGTACCTGCCTGGCAAATGCAAGGACCTGGGTTAGGTAGAAGGATCAATACAAGTTCAAGCTGCATAGTGAAACCCTTTACCAAATAGATAAATACATAATTTTTTTTTTTTTTTAAAGATGCTAACCAGCTGTGATTCCTCCACAGAGGACACCAGGAGATGGTGTTTCATGAGCAGAGGCCAGAGGCACCACATTGGTGCTCCCACTGGTGGGGGCACCAGGGGCCGTGGATGTAGACCTAGAGAGGGCAGGAGCATGAGGGGTACAGAGCATGGCCTACAGCGCTGAGCTCTGGCACCAGCCCTAAATGCCCACCTGAGTTGTGGCAATCTTGTTCTTGTGAACCTAATGTCTGTACCTGGTTCAGTCCTCCAGCATCTAAATATTGGGGTTCCCATCACAGGAACAAGGTCTCAGGAGGTCTCATCTGGTTTCAGGCCTCCAGTCACTCCTGCCTTCTCATGCAGGATGCCGCATGACACCCAGGTGCACACCTCAGCCTGCCCTGAGGAGAAAGGGCTCCACTCACCTCCGCACCTCATTTCCTTCTTTCTTTTTTAATCCTTTATTTATTTGGTACAGGGTCTTGCTATGCAGCTTGGACTCATAGCAATCCTCCTGTCTCAGCCTCCCCAATGCTGGGATTACCAGCGTACACCACCATGCTGGGTTTCAGTGACCAGCACAGTGTACCTGGAATGGCATGCAGTACTGGGGATTGAACCTGGGTCCTTGTGCTTGCCTAAGCAGGTGCTTAGACCACCAAGCTATCCTCAACCCCCCCCATTTCTGACCTCTGGCTTCCTGTGGTCAGGAGCCATGAGCTGGGCATTCTTTCACACCTGGGTCTTGTCCTTCTAACCAATGCTGAGGCTGCTAAAGCAGGCCATGGCATCAGGCCTACCCGAGGCTTAGCACCAGATCCCTGCCAGCACTGTTGTTGGTGACTGTCTAGGAAATCCTGCCTGTAAACACCTGCGTTCTCCAGCATTTGGATGTGTCACTGGCTTTAAGCAGCTTTCCACAGCACAGGGGCATTGCCCCACCAGGCTCAGGCAAACTAGCCCTCTGCAGCCTTTCCCACATTCCAGATCCAAGCCCGACAGGCCCTGTGCCTAAGACCCACAGGGCACAGACTTTGTGGCTACACAGAGCGTGTTCCTGCAGGACCCTGGCTACTCTTGTGCTTTTTTCCTCTGAGATGAGCAGATGGGTTCCTCTTACGACCTCCATCCTTAGCCACAGCTTAGCAGTGGTCCCTTAGCGTGGCCTGTCAGAGCCCCCTCCCGGGGAGCCCTGGTCTCTGAAATGTCAGGGAAGGAGGTGCATTCACATGCAGAGACCCCATGTGCTCTCTCCTAGGGCTTCTCCTCCTCAGTATTTCAGCTCCACCTGCCAAGAGAGGATCTTTACGTTGCATCTTCACATGCTGTTACATTTCACTTTGCAGAACCTGCTCAGCCTAAGCTTCCCCATCTGCTTCCCAAAGGTGGGATTGGGTCAGCAGGTGCTCTAATGCCAGGTGCTGGGAGGCACAATACCCTGCTAGGGGGCAGCACCCCATAAGCCCCTAGTCCTGCTCCACCAGTCTAGGCCTCTGTCAGCTTCCCACCCTCCCTCCTCCAGGTAGCTGAAAGCCAAGCAGAGGAAGCTCTGAGGGAAGGGACTGATTGAGGTTGGGAGTGGATCTCAACCTCTAGGGCTCTGTCAGAAGTGACAGGGCCAGAACATAAGGGGACAGGGGCAGAAAAAGTAATGAGAAGGCAAAGCAGAAAGAACCCTACACTGGGAGGTTCCAGAACCAGCCACCTACTGACCAAATAACAGACAGCAGCCACAGACCAGCCTCTGATGTTCTCCATTGAAGGGCTCCAGCCCTGCCCTGGCACCCTCCCAGGTGTGAAGCCCCCACCCCTAAGCCAGCTTTGCTGCTTGAGACTTAAGAGGGTCTTCAGATGAGGAACCCAGAACGACAAGCAGAAAAAAGAGTTAGAGATGCTATGTGCAGTGGTGAAGCTGAAGGCCTGGGAGCATACTGGGGTCCCTGGAGGAGCCAGAGACAAAGGCCTCCTAGAAGGACACACAGTTCAGTAGGGCAGGTAAAAGTACCTGTGGGTATAGGGAGCAAGAGGCCATACACCCCATGGGCCTTAGTTTCCTCATCTGCAAGCTGCATGGGGCTGCCAGAAGGACTCCCAGAATCCCCTCTGGTTTTCATATGAGGAAACTGACGCCTGGTGAGAAAGAACTTGCCAAGTTTGTGGCAGAGTGCAAACCAGCTCCAGGGGCCCTCCCTCACTTGTCCAGGGCTTCTGTTATGACCTCCTTGCTAAGCAACAATCAAATGCACACATGCATACCAGTCCTACAATCAGAGTGAACCATCGGGGACAATTTTCTCACCTTGCCACAAGGCAGGAAAATCCTGCAGTCTGAAAAGGACCCAGAACTAAGGCCACCAGGCATCTTCTCTCAGGATAGAATACAGAAGGGCTGGTTTATTCATTGTAAAGGGATACAGTTGGGTGCAGCCCCCACATGTCCCTACAGCAGCTGAAGGATCAGAAGTCATGGGGCCTGAGGCGTGGCTAGGCTAGGGTAAGTGGTCTCATCAGTTTCTAATCCTACAGCTTCCTACTGGCAGGGATGAGGTATAAGCAGAACTAGCTGGGCCACCAGAGGTGTAGGGGCCCCGGGTCTGGAGGACAGCCCTTGAAGAGCCGCCACTCTCTTCCTTTCTGGTCACACAGCTGGCCCAGGAGCACTGAGGTCCTTAGTTACTAGCAGGCTCCAGCCCACTTGAGGACAGCTGTGCGCCAGGTTCCTCTGAGCTCCTCCCTAAAGAGCTCCCACCTCCCTACCCTTTGTAGTCCTGAAGCCAAAGTGACCTCCAGAGTGTCCCACCAGCACCAAAATCCCGAGTCCCAGTGTTCTCGGGTGTCAGTGTCAGTGCATGAGCCCCTAGCTTGGCCACCCAAGTGCTGCGTGATCTTCTACGGAGTGCTGCCTACTCTCTCTCAGTGGACATCTGTGTTGTCTCCTGACATTTATTATTACACACAATATTGCTACTGAAGGGAATGAATACACTTTCCTGGAGATTAATTAATACATTATTGAACAATCAATGGATCACAGAAGAAATGAGAGAAGAAATGTGAAAGTCTCCAGAACAGCCTGACAATGGAAGCACAATATATTCAAGCCCATGGGACACAATGAAAGCAGTTCTAAGTGGGAAAGTTATAGCTGTAAGTGCATGCATAAAAAGAACAGAGTGATCCCAAATAAAAAATGGAACAGCTCAAGGTCCTAGAAAAATAAGAATAATCTCAGTCTGAAACTAGCAGAACAAAGAAATTATGAAGATCAGAGTGAAAATTAACAAAAGTGAGACTTACAAGCCAACATAAAGGATTAATAGATCAAAGAAGTGGTTCTCAGAAAGGATGGGAAGGGAATTTGAGGATGGGTGAGATGGATGAGATGGGAGGAAGGGAAAGGAGAGGAGCCCGGGATATGTAATGTCCCGTTCCTTCAAGATGAATGTATTTACTGTGCATTGCAAAAATATATCAATAAAAACTGAGTGGTGGGCATGTTTGAGGGAGGGCTGCTTTGCTGGGGCCAGGAATTATGCGAGGGTTCCCAGAGGTACGGACTGTATCTTTGAATATCCCCCCTTCCTGCTTCCTGTGCGTCCCCACCTCTCAGAAGCCCACGAAAGCAAGACAGGTGACAACCCCAGGTGGAGCCCCGAGCTGGTCCCCTACCTGCTGTGGGGGTGCTCGCCCTCGGGAGAAGGAACTGCTGTTGTCCAGCTGCTCACTGCAGTCCGCTGTCCACTGCGAGGCAGAAAGGAAGGGTCAGTAATGGTGGGACAGGCTCTCAGGATCCCGGCCCCCAGGGGTGGTCCTGTCCCTCAGCAGAAGAGCAGTAAGAACTCGACAGTCTCAGTGGCAGATCCTTCCCCACCAGCAGGTCTCCAAATGCCACATCAAGGCAATCCCCGGCATATGGCTGGGGAAGGCAAATTCATTCCCTTCACCTAGCTGTACGGGAGTGATGGAGATCCAACTGTACTGAAAGTCAAGAAAGTGTGACAACAGGTCTTCTCAGTGTTGGCCAATGAGCTCCATGCTTCACTGTGGTTCTAGCCACAGTGATCCTTTATTATGTCAAGGATGGAGCCAGAGGACAGGCAAACAGGGGCAGCTTTTCCTGTATACCTAGCTCTACAAGCTGACAGTCCAGCCTCAGCAAAGAGCTCCAGGCTGGCCATCAGAAGCTGGGCTTCTGCCCAAAGAGCCAGGAGAATTAGCATGTCTCAAGGTGGCATCTGACAACCTCCTGCAGGACAGTCCCCAAGGTCATCCACACAGAGGACCCTGGGCACCCAGACCCTCCACCCACTGAATCAGACCCAGAAGGCCAGGCTGGGGACCAGCATGTTCACAAGGTCCCCCAGTGATGCACCAGAAATCTGAGAGCCTCTTAAGCTATGTGATCTTCCAGGCTTCATTTTGCCATCTATCAAATAAGAGCATGACGCTGGGCGACTCTGCAAGGTAGAGATGGAGGACTTCAAGCTACACAAGCACTGTGCAGACAATGCGGCAGGCGCAGAATGGCTCATCCTCTGTCAAGTGCTGTTTAGCTACAATGCAGCATCGCTACTGCTGTGTTAAATGTTAGCTGTTCTCTATGCTGAACATAGATCTTAACCTACAATTTGCGTGATATGCACAACACAGAGGGAGCTCACTCTGTGTCTGACATCTCCAGTCAAAACTGTGGGGGCGGAGGGCTTCAGATGAATACGGTCTTGTTTTCCTAAAACACCTGGTGGGCACCACCTCCTGACAGCGTGTTAAGGACACAACCTTTACACAAGAAAGACCTTTTATTACAATGCTGATGATGCAGGTGAGGTCCAAATATGCGGTAGAGCAGTTATCCAGCCGAAGTAAAATGACAGACACACACAAGACACTCATCTCATGGCCGGATTTTAAGAGAGACAAAAATCAATAAACTCTTAGTGAGACATTTTACAATCTTCTTTCCATACAGAAGTCTTTGAAGCCACTAGGCGAGCATCAGACTAAATGAGCCACGCGTCAGATGCTCAAGAGCCACACAGGGCCGGCAACTCTGGTGTTGGACAAGCTCAGGAGACACAGGCAAGGCAGCAGGTCCACTGCTTGTGATCCCTGCCCATCCATCTGCTGAGGGCAAGCTCGCCAGCCTCCACATAAGCAGGCTTTCAGCTGCTGGGGCAGGAGACGGGAGAAGGGAGAGGCTAGGCAAGCTCCTCTGTCTCTCTTTGGCCCGGCTTTGGCTGGCATTACTGGTAGTGACTGCGTCTTCATGGCTCCATCCCTCACTGACTGGCTTCTATGCTTGACTCTGGGGCAGGGCTCTGGCAACATGGTCTCTTCCTTTGTGCTTCATGTTAGCAGGCAAGTGACAGGTACATGCGGTGGCTAATTTCTGGTACTTGAGCTACACAGCTCTTTCATCATCCAGGTGATTGATGTTCTGCATGAAGTTCCCCAGTGGGTAACTGCAGTCACATAGTATCTTCCCCTACCCACCTATTTTTTTTTTTTTTTCTGTATTTTAGGGCAGGGTCTACAGGGTGTTCAGGGTCTTACTTCTAGATTGGACTCCTAGTGATCTGCCTGTTTACAGCTTCCCAAGAGCTGGGATCACAGGCATGTGCTACCACGCCCAGTCTCAATTGTTGTCTCAGTGAGCCCCAGGGGCGGGTCCAGCACGGCAGTTCCAGGGATCAAACCCATGGCCCCTGTGCCTGTTTGCAGGTGCTTTAATCTGCTGAGCTATTTGGCCAGCCCTTCCTACACACCTATTAAATGAAAAATCATAAACTCCTCAGCTCTCACTTTAACCAAGTGAGCGAGGGGGAAAGATGCTACCAGTAATAAGACATATCGACATCACAGGCTCCCAATCTGCTGCACAGAGCAGGGCACATACCTTCTGAGGTATTCTTGCCTGAAGTTCACAACCTCAACATAGTCACAAGCACATCAGACAGGCCACATTAATGAACTTTCTAGAAACTCAGAAACAATCAAAGAGTGAAAAAAAGAAAAGACCAAGTATCACAGGTTGGAGGAGAATAAGGAGATGACAATTGAATGTAAATTTGGATCTTAGAACAGACAAAAGGACAATAGCAGAAAAGCTAATGAGCTCTGAGAAAAATCTGTAGTTAATAGCAGTGGACCACTGCTAAGCTCTGATCATTATGCAGTTACATAAGATGTTTATCTTAGAAGTTGGGCGGCAGGAAACACTTGAAATAATTTTGCACCTTGGCCAAAAGTCTAAAATAATTTCAAGACAAAAATATGCATGTACACACATCCATACACTCTCTATGCATATACACATGTATTATGTAAATACTACGTATACATATACATGCATAAGTATGCATACACACATTTTGAATTGAAACATACATGTATGCATGCATGTACTTACATGTATAAGTATGTGATGTTAACACTACTTTAAAAGCAATTCCTTTGAGCTATGTAATATAGTGTTTCTCCTGTCCTAGGTGGAGCCTGGCTGACAGGGTGGGAACAGCTAAGACCCAAGGGGCCTATTGCTGGTGCTACCCTAGGGAAAAGGAAAGTTTTTCCCTTTCCAGGGGTCTCAAATACCTCAATCCCAGTGCCAGTCTGGGTCAGCCTGGTCCCAGCCGGTGGACCTTCCTGGGGGTGTGCCTAAGAGCAGGCTGCAGGCATGGCTGGATGCAGCAGACTTGCCCTGCATGGGAGAAGTCCTGGAGTGTCTCCCAGGGCCAGGGAGGTGGTCTTGCTTTGCCAAAGAGCATCCTCACTTCACATCTGCCAGCCACAAGTCATTTCCTGAGTGGCTTCTGTGTGAGAGATAGCCCTGCATGGGGCAGCAAGTATGCTGACCAGCAGTGAGGTTGGAGAGGGTCTGTACGCGGAGGATGAGAAGGAAGTGCTCCAAGCTGAGGCCCTGAGGAAAGGAACAGGGGCATCTAGGTCCTGGGGAAGAGTGAACCCAAAAGAGTCTGAGACGTCTCCGCCTTGGACTTGAGCTGAGCTTGTGCCAGGGCGCCACTCAGAGAAATGTGGGAGGTGGCACTGACCAGTGACAAGGGGGAGGGGGTTGGCCCCGGTGTAGCTCCATGGTTGTGGTAATACTGAGGGAAATGAAGAAAGGGACCCAGCACGTAGAAGATACAAGCAGTGGCAGAGGGGGCGTCTACATAGCGGAAGTTGAGCACGATGATAAAATCCACAGAACGCACTCAGCAACTCATGTGCAGGGCTGGAGATAAGCACAGTCTCACAAGGGCAGGGAGTGTTGTCCTGGCTTTCCCAAAGCCCAGGAAGATGGTGAGGGCTATCACACCACACCAAGCCCTACATACAGGGCTCACAGGGCTCCCCTCTCAAATGCCACAACCAAGCAGCAGCCCCAGGGATGTCCTCTCCATGGCTACTTTCATGTCACCTACAGGAGCAATGTTTCTTTCTGCCCTGGTCATCAGAGGCCTTAGGGACTCTCCTATCTGACTCCGAGGCTCATTCCGTCTCTGCCCAGACCCCACACTTGGCACCTCCTTCTTGTGTGCAGCCTACACCTCCTGCACCCTTTGGCTCCTCTGAATCACTGCCTGGAAAACCTCCACACAGACCTCCTGATCCGTATGAAGCGGTTCTAGAGGGTGGCCAGCCCTAGCTCTCCAAACCCTCTGCCTGGAGCCTGAGGTCTCACACATAGAACATTCCTCCTGGAAAGCAAACAGGCCTTGAGCTTCAGTACCAGGAAAGTCCTCTAGGGGGCGAAGGTGAAGTCTAGAGTCAGCCAAGATGTCTAGTACAAGATGCAGGAACCTGGGAGAAGACTTCTATATGGGAGCACAGCACGTGGAACTCACAAAGGTAGTGTCAGGGCCTCAACCATATATGTTATAATTTATAGCTCAGTTAAAAAATCTGAACCAAATAGGCCACAGTTAAAGATGTAACAATAGGGGCCGGGGAGATGGCTCAGTGGAATAAGTGCTTCCCCGGCAAGCACAAGGGTCTGAGTTCAATCCCCAGTTCTGAAAAAAAAAAAAAAAAAAAAGATGTAACAATAATGTAAGTATGGATATTTACTCTAAACTCAACATGGATGTTTATTATTCTCTGCTTTTATCTGTATAATAACATATTTTAATATAAAAGTAATTAAAATCATTTAATCATTTGCACCGCAGGGTTGGCAGTAGTTTTTGAGTAGACTTTCAGGAGGACAGGGGAGACCATGTGGCTCTAAGCACTGGACGAGAAAGGCAAAACTCCGTGGGACAGGCTGACCACACCAAATATAAAAGTATCTAAAGCTCCTGCCAGGGACTGGCCCTATTAGACACCAGAGACCACGACAAAGCAAGACCCTGAGTCATCACAAGAACAGAAAAAACAGATCAACTGATAAAACTACACCCATAAATAAATTAGCCTCTAAATGGGATCTTCATATGGAACAAAGACAGTGGTTTCAACAAGCAGAAAGGTGAGACTTGTCAGTGGCCATGTGCCACTGAGACAAGAGGCTTGCCATGAAAGGAAAATTACTGTAGACTTCTACCTGCCCCACCCACAGACAGAAAATTCCAAATTGATTAAAATGCTAGATACAAACTACATCAACATATAGAATTCTATGCATGTGACAAAAGAAATCCTTCACAAAAACAAGACAAGTGAGGGGCTACTTGCAACATGTATAATCAGTGATCAGCCACCAGGATATACAGAGGTTTCACCTAAATCGGATCGTTTTA